CACACACCTTCATACCACATAATCTCTGCGCATTTGCACTCAGTCTCCTGTAGATACCGACATACAGACACAGACACACACCGGCAGCCCTGCTCCTCCCCCATCACGGCCTCACACTGTAAACAGGCTCAAATTTTGTTCATTGGCGGCTGCCTATTCTTTGCGGCCGATGACACTGGTGACATGTAAAGCTCTCTGGCATTGTCCAGCTCGCTGGAGCTCTTTAGCAGTGTAATCACCAGTGAAATGGCAATGGGCCACTGGGATGAAAACACAAGTCAGCAGCTGGTCAGCAAATCACAGCTGAAAGCCGTTAAATGGTGGATTTGCCCTGTAAGCAAGACGAGCTCGGGGGCCCTTTGTGGACCCAGTTTGTGAATGCGCAGAGCTGAAAGGATATTTTTCGTAACAGTTAACGGGCATTTTATAACTCGGCCTTTCACACGTCTGACACATCAAGCTGATGAAAATAGTTTTGAGACTGTCTAAGCAGACTTCATGTCAGGGCTAGCAGGGTACTGAAAAGTTTGATTAAGGTGTTCAGACAAGCAGAATTCTTATCAGAGTCGAGTGTATTTATTTTAATTAAAACTTGACACAAGCTGAGCACCTTCTGTACAGATAAAGCACAATTTCCATATATGACTCACAGCCCAGATTTGCTAACTTTACGCTGACAGTGATTGGAAGATGCTGAAGAGAAACACCTTCACTGTCAAATCAATTTTTAAATTTTTTTTATTTAATTATTTAATTTATTTAGTTTAAAAAACAAAATAAAAAAGATTCAGGCAATAAAGGATATGACACTTACACCTCTCGCCAAGGCTCCCGGCAGCAGAGAGACAAAACTGTAATTATCGTCTTGCGGTTGCATGCCTCCAGCAGTGAAGTTGCAGTTTACATCCATTACTGTCCTGACTCATAATATGGTGGAGGCTTAGGAGGAATTTAATACGCGGGCATTAAAGATTAGTGTCACTATTTCAGCATCCCACCAAAGTATGATCGCAAACTCTAAGTATGGTGCTAAATAATAAGCAGAATTATTGCAGTTTTCTTTCAAACATCATGAATCTACAGTGGTGATGAACTTTAACCCTCTTAGATATATTTAATGTCATCACTTAATTTCATGCTATTTCATGTTTACCTGTAAAGTTGAGTTAGATCTCCTTTCAGTCTTAGTGAACATCTGTGCTAAATTCAGTCCAATGGCGTTTATGAATGGGACAGATCTATAGACAACCCCCAAAACATAATGATTCCTGCTACAAGAATGAATATCACAAACAATGTGTGTGCCTGGGGTCTGACGAAAGGCAGGAATGTAATATTGAAAATACAAAAGTGGAGCAATTTTAGCAAAATATGCCCCGTCAGTCTTAAAGTTTGATCTTTACATCAGGTGCTGGTCTCATGATTGTTGTTTCTTACAGTTCAGCCAATAAAGCAGACCCTATCAAAAAAAGAAATAGAAGGAGAAAAAGTAATCTTTAAAGCACTGGATAAGTATAAAACTCATGTTTTATAATTTCTGTGAACGGTAGAAGTTAGGAGTCTGAATGTCGAAGCAACTGATATCTTCCATGTGTTTATGGTTACAAAAAACTGACGAAATGACTTCACTGAAACAGGCAATCAATCACCATGAGGCCACCGCTGCTATCAACTCTCTGCTCCACCTAGTGGCAGGTCAGGACCAGAGCTCTGCAAACCTCTCCACACCAAAATGAGACATGCTGCATTATGATGTACAGCGGTGTCATAAATTTATATATTTATCATGGGCATGAATGTCATGGTAATTTTGATCTTTTAATGATTTCCAGCGTGGAATTAGTTTACAGTTTTAATTACTTTAAAAAACAAGAACCGGGTGCATAAGTTTGAATTTATTTTGTGTGTTTTCCTCATCCACACAGGTTAAAAAGTATATATACAGAAATCTGTACATACACTCCCACTAATATATTGTTAAATGTCCCTTAGAGGATAAATACCACTAATGTTCCTTGGCTGAATAGCTTCTTGACCAGATGCTTTTAGTGGCCATCAACACGCTGCTGGCATAATTCTGGCTGGATATTTGACCACTTTTATTGGCAGATTATCAGAGTTAATTTAAAAAGTCTTGGCTTCCTGGCACAGATTCGACTTTTAAGTATATTAAAGAATTTTCATTCCAGAATCTTGATGTTAGCCTTCTTTATCTGTTCAAATCCAGTTTTGATGTGCGTTTGGGACCATCGTCCTGTTGGAGCACCCAGATGTGTTCAAGCTTCAACCATCTAGCTGTTCATCTGAGGTGACGTTGAAGAATTTGGAGGTAGTTCTCCTTCTTCACAATACCACCCACTTTGTATAGTGTACCAGAACAACTGGCAGCAAAATAGCCCCAGAGCATGACGCTGCCACCACCATTAATAAAAAGACAAAAAATGAGGTGCTGGCTCTGATGCATATCAACAGATGCTCCTCAGTAGGGCGAAGAAATTCAATAAAAAAAGAGAAATTCTTTTAATTGCTTTACCTTTAACAGAGTGCCTCAGCTACCAGCATGACCCTTGACAGTTGGCATAGTTTTACAAGTTTTGAAAGCCTCACCTTTACTCCACATTTGGCTCGTCTACGTGGGCAGCTGCAAATTCCAGTCGAGCTTGATGGTGCCAGTTGAGCAGGGACTTCTTCATCAGTGATGTGAGATCTACTTCAGTGTGGAGAGTGATGCTGGTATTCCAGCTGTTTCCAATTCCAGGCTTGATCTTTCTACATGGTTTCTTTTAAAAACTCCTTTTTGCATAAAATGATTGAAAACCAGAAGCATTTCATTCGAACATTTTAGAATATCTATCATAGATATATGAAACAGAGCCGTGACAAAAGTATTCTTATATAATGGGGTCATTAATGGCATCACTAGTTCACTTAAATTCCTAAAAAAGCACATACCTCACTGACACAAGGATGCAGACTATCCGCGCTGTAAAAACTGCTTTCTTTGAGCTGCTGTTCAGTTCAGGACGGCTGTTGAGTCACATCGCATTAATACTTGAGGTTCCCACCCTGCCCTAACAGCAATTATGTGTGTTGCTGGAGCTGCAAAAACAAAAGTGATGCAGTTCATAAAACTGTATCGGCTACTGACCTTCCTGCTTAATGGACTGAACGAAAAAGAGAAAATATTTCAAGGGCTAAGCATCATCATCGTTATCTGCATCAAGTATGAGCAATGCGCCGCTTCTGTTGCAATACTTTCTGTACATTTGCAGCGGTTGTGACAGAAATATTTTGCCAGAAGCCCACACAATGAGTTCTACAGTTATAATCAACTTGCACAGTCTTGCCGTGTACGTTTATGCTCAAAACCCTTTAAGCAATATGTGTCCTGAGCACGCGCGCACACACACACACACACACGCACACAGCTCAGTATCTGGCTCAGTATTTATAAGTATGACTAATACACTGTATATGCATACTATCATGCGTGCTTAAACCTGCTTTCTCTGCCTGGCACTGAATAAAACTAATCAGACAGCTTCTTGACCTTTGATGACAATAACCACTCCTGTGTCTCCTGCAGAGCAGCAGAGCAGCAGTAAATGCAATAAAAAGCAGCTAAATTAGCAAGAAAGCATCCTGCTTCATTGACCATTACGCCTAAAAATCTAATCAGTGACTCATTGTGACTCCTCATAATAAGTTCTGTTTGTAGTGGAATGTTTTTCCAGACCCCTACAGACTGCATACCAGATGCTTTCCCGTGCAGTTTGTTCCACACTTGTTCATATTAAGGAGCTTTAACATCAGTGTTAGCTCAGAGTGCTGCTGCTCTTGCTTCACTGCACTGACTTAGTATCAGATTTGGGATTGAATTTAACTTCATGCTTTCTCAGGCCCCACAAAGAGTCTCAGGCTTTCAGCCTATGACCTGCTAGAAGCTAACTTTGGGATAACCGGGCTTTAGTTGTGCTGGAACCTCTGTTAATGGATCTGTTTGACTCATCAGCATTTCTTTTATTAAATGCTTCATTAATGCTTAAATATTAAAGTCAGCATATGGAGTATTTGAGCCAGCCAGTGGAGTGTCATATCGGTCGAGTGGGCTCAGCTATCTGGACCAGCTGATAGCACTGCTGCTCAAACTCCTTCCTAAAAGAAACTTTAGGCTGTTTATTTGAATGCAATCCTCATAAATGCATGTGGCTAATTGGATTTGCCACTTGAAGGCCTCAGAAAAAAACACTTACAATGTGATTTAAAACAACAACAACTTTACATTGGGCTACTCTCCTTGAATTTAAAAACAAACAAACAAACAAACCATTAGGTAAAAGCAGAAAAAAGCTGAAAATCAGGTGTTTTTGACATTCTCTTTCACTTTTCTGACAGTAGATCAGAGACACTGGCCACAAAGTTGCACAGCTCCATACCTCCATCTGCTGGCCACATGCAGCTCCACTAATGGCTGTGGGGATTAAGAGATTTATGACCGTCAGGTCAAAATAGATTTCAAACATTTCCAAAGTATTTCATTGGTCAAACTGAAGAGTGACTTATCGTGACGGATTTAGCCCAAAACATTTAACTTATTTGTGTTGCCTGTATCAAAGACATCGTACTAAGTTAGACTGTTTCCACTTCAGTAAACAAACAAATCAAATAAATGAGGGCAAATGATGTTTGTTTGTTTGTTTGTTTGTTTGTTTGTTTGTGTGTTTGTTTGTTTGTTTGTTTGTGTGTTTTCTTCTTCTTTGTGTTTAACGGCGGTTGGCAACCAACGTAAAGGAGCATTATCGCCTCCTACTGTTCCGGAGTATGGGTCAGACACAAATGATGTTTTATTGAGTTGGGCCAAGTTTCAGTCAGCAGAGCCACACCTCCTACAGGTGCACTCACTCACTCTGATTGCCTCTCCCTGTATTTGAACCAGCTGGAAATTGTATGGCTTCCTGATGACCAGCAACATATAAAAACACATAACTTCTCTCTGCTTAACATTTTCTCATTTCCTTGCAAATCTACTCTAGGTCTTTTCTTGTGAAAGAGCTGAAATGGCTCTCAATGGTAAAACTGCAGTAGTGACCGGAGCTGCGATGGGAATAGGAAGCTCAATAGCTGAACTTCTTCTGCAAAATGGTGCCAAGGTAGTGTTTGAGATCAGATATTCTTGTGCTTCACATTTTGAAGTGCTGAGGTTGAATACTTTTTTTCCTGCAATAAATGAGTAAATTTGTGGTGATGAATATGAGCATGTAACTGCGAGAGTAGATAAGTTTGTTAGTTTTACTAGTCATAGGTGAGTAAAATCAAATACTCTAAGTAGACTACTGCATGGCCTATTTAGAGTTAGAAAGCGGATACAGGTTAAGTCAGCATGAATGAGTTTGATTTGAACTGCATCCTTTTATTAAGCTGTCTTCAGTTTGTCCCCCCTGGTCTGAAGTTGGTTGCCCACCAAATTACTGTATTTGTGGTGTTGGAAGGTGGATGTTGGAGGGGAAACTTGCTATCCATTTAATAGCATTTATTATAGCTCTTTCACTAAAAATGGTAACACTTATGCTTTTTAAACTCTAAGCAATGAAATGTAACTTATTTTTTGGGTTGTATTTGCAAGAATGGAATGCAAGGAAGACTCTATCTGATGAAATTTTCATCCTCACTGAGGAGGGATGGAAAAGGAACAGGTTCCTGACCTCTTTTAGTGTCTGTGGCTAAAACCCTTCATGGGGGTAAATCATAACATTTCACTGCAGGATGTGACCAAAAACAAAATGCTTAATGTGTTGTCCTGCACATATAGGTGGCCATCCTGGACATGAATGAAACTGCAGGACAGAGTTTAGTTGAAACCCTGAACAAAGAGCACGGACCAGACCGAGCCCTGTTCCTGCTGTGCAACGTAGAGTCAGAAGAGGAGATCAAAGGTAACATGCATACACAACAAAATGTAAATGGTGGCGGCAAAGGCGTGTGTGTTCTGCTTTCCTTCAAATACTTGTAGATTTAGTTTGTTCCAGTCAGTGAATTTTTCTCGAACTCACCAGCTTGAGTCACAGTATGAGCAGTTATCAGCAGCTGGAGCTCCAGACCATGAGAAATTACTTGCTCTTCATGTGGGAGTCAATGAGCCATCAGAACTTTACCAGAGCACAGGGGTTTTGCTAATGTAGATGCTGCTAATAAAGCTGATCAGATTCTGGAGGTAGTTGTAGTTGGCATGCTTCTGTAGTCAGCTTAAAGTTGCTTCATGAATTGGGGAATGCTGCAACAGTTCTTGTAGTTCCCAATAAACAGCTAGAGATGAATTTGTCTTTTTATTGTTGGCTTGAATTTTGTCACTTGGTTTTGAAAGGACTGTTATTCCTGTGGTGTCTCAAGCTGCCTTTCAGAAAACTGTAGAAACCTTTGGTGGAATTGACATCCTGGTCAACAATGCTGGCATCTTCAATGAGATAACGTGGGAGAAGACTATTGGCATCAACCTTGTAAGAAACACTCACATTGAGCTACTCAAAATCAGATATGCAAGAGATTGCAAGTGTCATGGATGCCTTTTGTTGTAGGGTGGCTGTATTAGGGGGTCTTACCTGGTTATCGAGCACATGAACAAGCTGACTGGGGGTCGTGGAGGGGTCATCATCAATGTGGCATCCATGGCAGGTAAACTTATGTATTTGCGTCTAAACAGACCATTTCATGCATGGTGGTCACTTCATTTGAAATGATGAACAGCCTGAACTATCAGGACTACTTTGACTGCTAAAGGAAAACTTGAGTTGAACTTGAACTGCAACCCATCCAACAGGTATTGGCCTTCTGTCTTGCTGCCCTGTGTATACAGCCACCAAGCATGCAGTGGTTGGGTTTACTCGAGCATTTGCGGTAAGGAAACTGACACAATTTCAGGAAAAATCAGTTTCAATTTGTTTGTACTGTCTGGAGAGTCAATGTAAGCTGCATGTTGGGCTTAGTGGCTACTAGGGCAACTGTGCTACTGCTATAACTTGCATGTTCAACTGCTCATTAACACATTGTCTAATCAGCCAGTAAAAGTCAATTGGGTCAATATGACTTGAGGCTCAAAGAGACATCAAAAGAAATATGATTGAAGTGATTTTAAACAAGGCATGGTGGGTCTGAGTACTTCAGAAACTGATCTACTAGGATTTTTCCAGCACACTTTAGGGTTTACATAAAATGGTCTGGAAAGAAATCAGCGAGCATCAGTTGTGAGCGTAATGCTAGGTCAGAATGACCAGACTAACACGATGGCAACAGTAATTCCACCAAGCACTTATTGCAACAAAGGTATGCACAAGGGAATGGACTGCACCATACACTGAAGCGCATGGTATTGAAGAACTGAAAACTGAAACTAGAAATTGCATGGATCATCCTGCTTTGTAACGTCAGTTCATCCTGCAGGTGGAATAACAGGGTGGAGGATATCCTGACACACATGATTACTGTTGCTATTCATGTCATGCCTCTGACCAGTGTGGCAATCATCTGATGGTTGCTGCTAGCAGGAGAACATGCAGGTCACAAAGCTCAGTTTCTCTTCGGTGTTCGAGTGGACTCGATCACCATCTTTCTCCTGTGACCATTTTTCAGCCCCTTATTGAATCGAGAGCTACACAAAATGTAAAGAAACTTTCTTACTAGGCTGCCTCAGTTGCATCAGGCTATGGTATACGGATGAATGCCCTCTGCCCAGGATTCGTTAAAACGGACCTCTTCTCCTCTATCAAGTCCAAACTGGGACAATTCTCCAACTTGGCAGGTGCCAACCAGGAACTGATAGAAAAACTTGGCGTGTTAACGTGAGTCTAAAATTGTACAAAGCCTTAAAATGTCTGTGCACATGGCATTATGTTTTTAAAAGTATTTTGCAGTGGAAATGAATATTCATGGTAACTGTATCTCTTGATGCAGGCTTGCAGAAGTCGTCGAGGGCTTCCTTGAGCTCGTGACAGATGAGACCAAAAATGGAGAAGCTCTCCTAGTTCTCCCAAAAGAGAAGAAATATGCAACTTTTTCAGCATCACCCACTGATTAACTCATGACAATATTTCAAGTCTTTCAGGCAAGAGTTTCAACTTCTGTACAATGTATGAAATGTACTGCAATAACAGATTAAAATATAAAATCTGTGTGGGTGTTTGATCTGCAACATCCTGCCACTGGCAAATTTCAGTCTTGTTATTGCACAAGACTGACACTTAAACCATTTGACTGTAGGAGCTGCTGAACTTGTGTCACAACACACCGCAAAGATGTAGTGTCACCTGTATCTAGCTCCCCTAGTGTAACTTTTTTCTTCCCCTATTTAAACAAACGCACGCCTGACAGGGACGTAGTCAGTCACTGTACCGGCGTAGAATAAACTAATATATCTGAACAGAAAACAACTTCCTCTGCCAATACCCGAAATGACAAACCACAAGGGAAAATGCATTGTCACTGCAAAATGTCACTGCAAAATATCACACCATATGTTTGAAGGCACTGCAGTCAGATCTCACATAGATACACATGGGTCTCTGTATTAAGAATTAGTTATCACCCACAGTCAGCTGTGAAAGGGAAGTCACCAAAACAAAGATGTGTTTTTAAAAAAAGGGGAAGCTAGTCTGCACTCACAAGAAGTATGTCTAGACAATGGTTTTATCTAAAAGGTTACACGGCAAGGTGGACTAATGTGATTAAAGGCTACGAATGAAATGAGAAAGGACTGAAAGAAGCAGTCACAAAATCAGAGTATTTGATCAAAAACCAGCACAATGTGGAGCCCCCGAGCCTTCATACAATTGGTATTAAATGCGCAAGAGCCTAAAACAAAGATGTACTTAAACACTTGCTATTACTAATAGTACAAAAGTTTCAAAGGAAGAGTATACATTAATCATTCATGTCACATTGTTGCTCGGCAGATTTATCCATAAGAACACTTCATCATATTTGTAGATTTATGTTTAAAAATCAGTGAGTTACTAAGTAATTAAAGCTTTTTGATGGTATTGAGAACTTTGTCTTTCAGCTGCTTCCTTAAGGGGTCGGCTTAAGAAGTACTCTGTACCACTAATGCTACAGCTTTAATTACTTAGTATATCGCTGATTTTAAAATGGTGTGTCACGATTTATGAGACAAATTATCAATTTAGAAATTCAGAACACATATTTTTATTTTCTAGTTAATGCAACAAAACAGGTTTCAGGTTTTCATGTACTTTGAAACTGCAGTTTCTTGTAAATGTGCCCGTCTCGGAATCAACTTTCTTTTGTTTAAATGTGTTACAGGCTTAAAATCAAACAGATGTGGCACTTACCAGAAAACATTTATCACAATGCATGTTTGAGGTATATATATATATATTTTTTTTTATTCCAAAAAGTTTATTTAACACAATTATATGGGCTACATATTAACTTAAAGGATATATATTAAAAAAAAATCGATCCTATCAGGTTAGTACCAATCAGACACCAGCGTTGGCATCGATACTATTGATATTTGGATCAATCTGCTCATGTTTACTCCTTGTTTGTAAGTGGTTACTGCAGTGGATGGATGTGCAACACTCAAAATATACTTACATTTAATTGTCTCCTGGGAGTGCAATGACACAAGGCACAGTATTCTGGTAACATGACTAATCACTGGCCCTATCCATGTGTATTATCCAGTTATATTGGGGGTGGTAAAATTAACAGTACTCCTCTCCAGGGACTGTGATGCTGGAGCAGTCATTTCAGGGAAATTGGTGTCACCCATGACCCCCCTCTGAGCACACCCCTATGATGGAGTTTTAGGCCTACATTAAAATAAATACATTAATTAATAAAAAAAATACAATTATTAATCATTTTGAGAATAAAGTTGAAAATCTATTTTGAGAAAATCGACTGATTAGTTTTTTGTTTCAAGACAAACTGCTATGGTAGGTATATCCTCCGACTTAGTGAACTTGTACTTCAGAATCGGTTTTAGTAACAAGTAAATGGTTTCTCTCTTAGCACCTTTTTTTTCTCTCTCTCTTTAGCACATTAACACAGTGTGGTGAGCCGTATAAGGACATTGAAAAGATGGTGCGGAAAGCTGCATCTGGTCAAACGGAAAAAAAACACAAACTCCAAAGCGTGGATTTGTACAAAATGAAATGGCGCGTAGTGAACAGAGCCAAGGTTATCGGGGATGTATCACAGGACAGCTGATCAGTTTGTTTAATTCAGTCATCTATACGAGGCGTTTTGTAGAGGATACAGCCGCTTAGAATTACGACTTTATTCCTGAAATTTTGACTTTAGTCTCAAACAGAGATGGGCAGTAATGCGTTACTTGTAATCCGATTACTTTATCAAGTAACGAGTAAAGTAAGGGATTACTATTGCAAAAGGTAATTAGATTACTGTTGCTTTCCCATAAGCACGCTGCGTTACTACGTTACTAAAACGGTGATTTTTTTTTTTTTTTTTTTTGGCCAGAGAGTCTCATAACAATGACGTAAACGAGTACGACTTTCGTGGCAACAGCTGTGTGCAGATCAACAATGGATACTAGTGCGAGAGAGAGTATGAGCGTGTAGCGTTTAAAGCGTGGAAGTACTGACCTTACTTTGAGTTTGATTCCATAAAAAGTGACAAAAACATTAGCGTCTGCTGCTCACTGCGTGGGAAGAAAACTTCTTTTTACAGCAAAAAACCCCCCTAAACTTCCGAGCAAGCACCAAATATGCTGCCACTGGAATGTGAAACTGCCATATCCTTACACTGACCGCTGCGACATACCTGCACCAGGGCAAACCGCCGCCTGCCCCACTCCTGCTATACAGGTGAAAATAGAGCAACAGGACCGCTTTGATTTTATTTATTTTCTGCTGTGTTTTACGTGCATCTATTTGAAAGAGTGAGTGTAAACACAAAAAAATATTTTATTTTATATGCTGCAATATGCAGAAAATAGGTTTAAATGTTAAACAAATTTCTTCCAGTCAGAGAATGTTGCATATAATTTAATCTTTGCTTGATGCATAAAGTTAAAAGATTAAAACTAATAAAACAAGTTTTAAAAAGAGACTTTTTCATTTGATTACATTTTATATGATGGATTATGCAGAAAAAGTCGAATTGGGTTGAAAGTTCTATTGCTTTATTACCTATTTAGGGTGTAATTTATGTTTTAAAAGGTAATCAGTAACTAATTACTTTCAAATAAGTAAAGTAACAGAATTACTTTTTTCAGGAAGTAATCAATAACCAATTACTGATTACTTCCTGAAAAAGTAATCCTGTTTACTGATTACTTATTTTTGAAAGTAATTAGTTACTGATTACCTTCAAGTAACTTGACCAACATTGGTCTCAAAATGGTCAGTAATATTTGTTTTTCTTAATGTGGCCCTAATACCCCTTCAAGCATTATGAAGCCATACAGTACTTAAAATATACTTCCATTAAATTGTCTCCTGAGAGTGTAATGACACCACGCACAGTGGTCTGGTAACATGACTAATCACTGGTTTTATCCAGTGGCATTGGGGGTTGTAAAATAACTGTACTCTCCAGTAAAACCCCGACCCCCCCTCTCGTTACGCCCCTGCTGCACGCACCATCGAAAAATGACCGCGAGAAGAGTTTTTGCACAGTTGGGATGAATAGGCTGGTCGTTAACTGTGCAGTTACCAGTTACTCACTCTGACCGCCTCCAGTCTCTCACTCGACCTCCGCACGGTTGCCACACGTTTGAAGCCCCGCGCGTCTTCCTGGTGGGCGGCGACAGATGGGCTAGGTTTCATTTGACGTAGACGTGACGTCGACGTAAAGCGCGAAATTTGACTGGCGGTCGGAAGTGAAAAAGATAAGCGCAAAATCACAGACAGACAGTACGCAAAATGCCTATGTCCTGTTGTGTTTACGGATGCTCCAGTAGGTCGACCAGAGAAACTGATAAACGGTATTTTAGGGTACCAAAAATAGCCCAACGAAGAGGAGAAAAATGGAAAATTCTAACCGAAAAACGTAGGAAAAAATGGATTTTAAATTTACGTTTACAGTCGGGAGGAGCAGAGTCTGCCAATGCCCGTGTCTGCAGCGACCACTTCGTCAGAGGTAATGTTATGTTTGCAAACGAACTTATTAGCATTAGGTTGTCCTTAAATTCTCGTTTACTTAGTGCTTTTAAGTTAGTAGTCTAATATTGACTTGATTGGGACTATAGGCTGCCCAAGTGCTTTGGATGACGAAGAGTCGGAGGACTGGGCTCCGACGGTCAATCTCGGCTACGAACGAAAACCCAGATCAGAATCAGTTCTCAAACGAGAGAAAAGAATGAAGCTTAAGGCAGAACAGCATCGATGTGCAGAGGCGATTTTGGATATGCAACAGACGGCTGAGAGCCCGGATTTGAGCCTAGTGACAGTGGAGAACCCCGAACTGCAGCTTCCAGCTGAGAATCCACAACCAGAAGACTTCAGTGTGAATGAGACATTCACTTATCCAGGTAAGATATTGTGCTGAGATGTAAAACAAACAAGAATCATGTCAAAGAGAAAAAGATGCCATTATCTGTAATGATTATGGTCCAAGTTACATATTACATGTTTGTGATTTTTTAATCACAGAGTAAATCCATACCATTTTATTCAGAAAAAAAGAAAAAGTGGCACTTATTACCGTCAGGCACACACCACAGGTTTTTGTACACTGCTATGGTTCTTATATTGCCAGATTCCAGACAGTCTCCTTTCACAGATAAGTAAAGATATCCGTAATGTAAGGTTTCTGTGGTGAGAAATAGGGCTGGGCCATATTATACCGTTCACGGTAATACCGGTATAATGTTAGGCAACGATAGGAAAATGAAATATCGCGATAGAATGGGAGTAAAACGCGCATGCGCAGTGCCTTTGTTTTCATACGCACATGGCCGATTGTTGAGTGAAACAGATGAACCAGTATTGGTTTGTAAAAATGGTGCAACTTCAGTGATGTGGAACTGGTTTGGTGTTTGTCCGTCAGATACACGACAAAGCACATTTTTTTGCAGAACATGCAAGCGGCCGTTGTTATTGTCGTATTTGTCGGACTAAGATGCTCTTAAATCTGGGAGTAATCTGGGTCCTAAACTCCGTATACTTCAGGTCAAACAACACTGCAGCATCACTTAGAGTTAAAAACTGTCTAAATTCTTTCATCTTTAATAAAACGATCAGCATTGCTGCTTTACCAGGTGTAACTATAAAGTTTAACTTCCAGGCATCCATGAAAACAAAAGTTATTACAT